GAGCACGCCTCAACATGTCACGTGAGGCCATGGTCCTTGTTGTTTAGAGTCGGGCAAGTGTTGGCACGATATCTGTGCTATGGAACCATCAGTACGTTGTCTTTGTTAGCGCAATGCTGCAGTTCAACCACAGTCTTCGCCGGGCTCCTCAGCGGCACACCGTTGACAGGCGGGGGGGGGAGTAGGGATTTGCCCCCCTCTTCTCTCTAGAACGACTGGTCCGAAACTCAAATTTAGACCGCAATCGATAGTGCCGTGCTTCGGTCTCACATCACGCAACAACTTAAGTTGATGCATGTATTCAGGCACAGGTCAAAGTCAAATTAGGAAATTGTTTACTTTCGGAGTTTATCACCGCCCCAACAACGCGTGTCCGCGTCGTACTCACGTATGCGAACATCACTGCTCTCTGATCAAACATTTTAACATAGGGGGTGTTTCGAAGTGTGCGTGCGAAGCCGTTCAGGCCTATAGCCAAGTCACGCGCCGTGGAAATGAGAGCTGAAACCTTGGTTTGTCTGCCTATTTTGGTCTATTTATTTTCGTGTATTTTGAAACCATCAAACGTGAAGTTAAGAGCTTAGCCGCAACCATGGGTATCGGACACGTGAGCAAGAGCGGTTACTGTTCATAAGCCGTCTAATGCCAACCTGAAATGGATGACTTCAGTGGCAAATAAGCGGTTTGATCGATTTTCTCCTTGTTTTCGAGGGTCCAGTCCTGCCGTCATTGCGGCCCGATACCCTTCAACCCCGTCGCCAGTCACGTGGTCATTGGTTTGTGTGTGAAACTGATAAACGGCTTCAGCTGCCCGCCGCCGCCGCGCCGCTGCAACCTGAATCCCCGCCGCCCGCCGCCGCAGGCTTGTCACGTGGGCAAGGGCAGCATGCCCTGTGGTGCATTTCAAGCCATAACTCAGTCATTTTTACAGATAGTTGCTTGCAATTTAATGCAGCATCCTTCAAAGCCGTATCTATAACACCCTTCCGAGTGTTCAAAATTTCGAGTATGAGACCAGAAAATGTTGAGTGCACATTTTATCACTACTTTTGTTATTTGACATGCCAGTATTTCAACGTGCAAAACTGTAGCAACACAGCGACTATGCAAATGAATGATGGACTAGTTGGCTTACATTTTTCGTTCATAGATGTAAAAATATGGTTTTTCGTTCGGCTTGTCGAGTTGGGTCTGCAGCCAACGCGCTTCTGTCAAAACATTGGCAAACATGACGTCACTCTGACGTCATTTACGCTCTGATTCTATTATGGTATTATAGTCATTTTAGCACAGGGCGTTGAACTCATCAATCGACAGGTACTGAAACTTTTGCGGCGATATCTCGAAGCGCTTTTTAATTATCGCTAATGTTGGGAATGGGCAGATTTTGCCGGGCTAGTCATGAGTTTAATGACATTCGACACGTTTTCTGGCCGTTCCGGATGGTAAATAAATACAATTGTGCCACTCTTTGCAGGTATAGCCATGTTCGGACAGGGTTCTGCTGATGGCCGAAGGGCGCGTAGCCTACAGGGCGACGTGGACGGCCGCCTACGACTTCTTTAGAGAGTAAGTGATCTTTTTCAGGCAAATGAATGATACTTTTGTGCCATAATGGATATTGGCTATGTGGCAGTAGCGCGTAGGACTTGAGGTTCGTGAGCAGTTATATCTTCCGTTGATAGGGCAAAAATATGACTGTTTTCTAGAAGGGACCGTTGGTTAATGGTCTTGACTACTTGGCGGACCGTGTGGTTATTTGCCTCCTCGTTTCCTTAGCGGGGTCGCTGCGGTTTTTTTGCCCCCGTTTTCTGGACGGGCCCTTGCGATTGTTTGTCTCGTTTCCTTTTCGGGGCCCGTGATTATTTGACACGTTTTTTTTGAGCGGCCTCCTGTGGTATGCTTTTGGACTGGCGGTGATGACGTCACGAGATTCGGTCTCCCTGGTGGGGCGGACGTCTGCTGTAGTGTTCCGGTTGTTGAGCTGTCGGCTATGCAAAGTCGTTCCGCCGAACGCGTGCAGGATGTGGAGGTTTGAGATGCAGGAGCTTGATTGGCATTATTTATACACCATGAGTGCTTTGTCGTGATGGGAA